ATATCCTTGTAAAAGTAGTATTATGTTACCTAGTTAGTTTGGGACTAGTTTTCCTAGTCTTAGTAGGTTAATTTTGGATTTTTGTGACCTGTATAAATAGAGAGTGTAAACCTATGAGTTTAACAACCAAGATATCAAGTTTTTATCAATCAATTGAAGAGTTAATTTTCGTGTTCCTTAGTGAACATTTTGCCCAAATCTTATGTGGAGGAGTTTAGGAGTTTGTGCATCTCTTATCAACCAGAAGATCACATCTAGTTGTGGCGAGTTCTCGCTCACAAGTTGGAATTTTTTGATCAATTTTCCGTCTTTATCCTTTGGTTCGAGTGAATCAACATGAAGATCGAAGTTAGTTGTGTACATTGGTAATCATGAATCCAAGAGTTTGAGCCTCGATTCATATCATCACCTAACTCCCAAGAAATAAGAAAGACAATATAATCACATCACATAATGATGATGAAGGCGAGGACCAAAACGGTGAATGATTAAGTAGATGGTTGATGAAGGGGAGTGGCGGCCAACAGATTACGATTTCAATTGACAATGTTTAGTCTCTGTTTCAAAGCATATAACTAGTTGACTAAGAAAACTAAGATTAATAACTTGAAACTTGAAGACGTGATTCGATGAAAAAAAGAGGAAGGTGAAGCGGGAAATGGGGAGCATAGAGGATGAGGAAGAAAGGTCGATGATCGAGGATGAGGAAGTTAAGGCAACAAGGATGGGAGATTTGGTTTTTGGGGTTAGTGGTTGATGTGATGATAGTTGAGATTGAGATTTGAGAGGCAGAAACATAGAATATAAGAGGTCATCTCGACTCTTAGTGAGAAAGGGATAGAGTGCAACGTCTTTTTTTATGTTGGTGGGTGTTGGATGGTTAGTTGTCAGTTTCACGTTTAAATCAATACCCCTCCAAACTAGCACTGAGTACATTCTTAATTACCGGTTATCGCTTAGACGAATAATAGGTTTTTTAGGTTTGATTTATCGATTAACCGGTTCATCAATTACCAATCATCAGCCCTAGCTAGCTGGCATGGTGAGGCAAACATTTACATGTAAAAATTATTTCAACCATAAGAAACTTTATGAAAAATAAAAACCGAAAGAAGAAAAGTTGTGAATTAACAAGGAAACGATTAATAAAGAAAAATCTAACTTGATTTATTCATTAGATAAATGATCATAAATATAGGAAAACTGCTTGTTTATCTAGTTCAGAGACCCGATCGGTTGACAAGGCCTTGTTTCCAATCGCAACAAAGACGAACATTGTATATACAACATTCACTAAAGATTAGATAATGAAATGAGGGGGAGATTCGGTGGGTCACATGTGACGGTCAGATGGTACTTTTAGTTGGGACTTCTCTGGCAGCCTACAAATTCCACTCACCACAACTCCAATGACAAAGAAAGCACAAATAACATGAACACCACTTCTTCGCAGACTTACTGAACCCATATTATATATCTTCTCAAAGAAATCGTGATGTTGTCTAAACTCTTCTTTTTCTTTTCTTCTTTTCTTGATTGTGTCTTTTGGACGAAAGAAAAAATCTGTTATATAAATAGCTACCGTCATGCCCTAATTCGGATAATCAACGTGACAAGGATACCAAATATGAGATACAGATATATATGGAAGATTTAATTACCTAAAATAAGAGAATATAGTTAAATTAATATTATATATCTCATTTGAATACCCAAAAATTATGTAATTTCATAAATAAAAGTTCCATCAAATTTTTGGATCGATCATCATCCCACACCCCAATTCGAGCATCATGAAAGGCCATCGTCATCATCCGTTCATCACTATTACCCCAATAACTAACCCTTAATTTGACTATCATCATCAAAACCCAACAACCACCAAAACCTAAATCCCATGGTCGATCTAAATTTATTCTGTAAATTTCATGTTTTTTATTCTCGGATTATGCTGCTTGGTCTCCTCGTCCAACCCAAGACTCCAGCGCATCTTCGTCCCTACTTCCGACCTCCATCGAGTTCAGCTCATCATCTACTTTGAAGGTCGCGGCGGACTGCTACCCTTTCGCGACAAACCGGAATCAATTGACGGTGAAGGAATACGAAAATTACACTCGTGGAAACAATGGATACCGGCTTTCGAACTTCATCGACTTAAGCTCATCCTCTGCTTTTAAGCTGGTAGCGGACTGCTACCCGTTCGCGACGAATCCGAATCAGTTGACGGTAAACGACCATGAAAAATACGTAGTGGAAACTGTTCGTGCCTGGGATGTACCAGGCGGTTATGTGAGACTCCACGACCTCTGGCGGCTTGACAGGTGGGAGGCGGTCTTCCGAGACCTGCACGAAAGGTCCTCAGGGGTTGCCTGGGACCTCCTCCGAAGCTTAAGTTAGAGAGAGAAGGGAATATATAAGTGTGTATAGAGAGAGAATTTGGTCGATCGAAGTTACCATAAATGCTGCCCCTTTGGGGCTATTTATACTGGCCTGGACTTAGAATCAAGACATTTAATGCTGTGTCAGGCGGTCTAGGACGCCTCTAACTTTATTATCTGCTTTGTCAGTACGAATGTCAGGCTTCTTCTGACAGCAGGATTTTAGCCCATTGGTCGGGCGGTTTCTGACGTATGGATGACGTAAATGTCGGGCGGTCTCCATGTCGGGCATTGTTAAACTGACCTTGTCTTGGCCTGTCTTTGTGGGCTTTCATAACCATGGGCTTCAGGCCCACGTATGCCAATACTAGGCCCAACAGAAACAATGGCTGAGGCTGCAATGAAGAGATCGGCAGGAATCTCGTGGCCGGAGTTGGGAATCATAACGGAGAAAGTGCAGACGAAGAAGGGTCAGTGGAAAAACGAAGGTAAAAGTAAAAAAAGGATATCGATAAATATGTATAGGACTAAAGAGCACGCATGCAAAAATAATGGAACCAACTAATTATCTTTAAATCATAATTAATTAATTTTTCTTAATAATAACCGTTAGATTATATCAACGGTATACAGATCTGGAGCATGCTTTATATATATCATATTTAATTGTTATCCCATTTAATAACCAAGTTTTAAATTTTCTCCCTTAGACTACAAGGAAAGAATAGATCCAATGTATATCTTACATATGCATTACCTTGCATAACCCTTTATTATCATTTATGGAAGATAATTAATTTTTTCCAAAATTTAATTTAATGGGCTATATCTCTTTCGTTTTAAGTTCTAATAATTTTTTTTATCTACTATAAGATAACGGTTAATATTCGGGGTTGTAAGGACTTCAACATGTGAGCTCAAAGATAAACCAGCTCTGATAACATGTCATAAACCAAATGGTCCCAATAACTCGAGTTATTAGGACTAGTTGGTTTATGACGTGGTATCAGAGCTGGTTTGACCAAGTAGTCATGGTTTTGAATCTTCACGACCCACAATATTAATAGTCGATTAAAGCAAAAGGTATGACGATCGCCTGTGAAAACTTCAAGCGCATGGGTTGGTTTTCGTTTGAGGGGACATGTATGAGAGTGATATAAGATCTGTAATAACCTTCTCCCAACAACTCGAGTTATTGGGATCAACTGTTTATGACACCTCCAGAACTTTGGGTGTGTTGTACATTGTGATCTATAACAATCATATTCACATGATCCCAAGCTTTGTGAAGTGGATTACCGACGGGCGGTGGCTGAACATAAGAGTCGATCAACGACAACTTGTTCCTGGAGTGAAGCGCCATGCACATGGATCTGGTCTAGGAATGATAGTTGGCCCTAGTGAGTGGAATTGTCACCCGTTGGGGATTGACGTTGTTACCATTAGCGATGAAGTACTCGTCTTCAGTGTCGATCGTTGTGGAGACAAAAGAAGCTAAACTCAAAGAAGGATCAGTCGCCATAGAAATCACGCCATGAAGTCATCGGAAAATCAGTCTAATCAAAACGAGCACCAAGAATCAGGGTTGACTCGTCGGATAAACAATCGAATCCAAGCAAGAAGTAATAAAAAAGTGACCTTGTCAAGAAATCGAACGAATCAAAGAGGATTGCAGCAGAATTGAAAGACTGAAGAAACGAGACAAGAAGATGAAGGATCGAGAACTTCCGCTCTTCTGGAAACTCGACAAGAGGAAAGGAGACTCACAGAAATCACGAATTCGAAGATTCAAGAGAAAGGAGATGAGTGTTAGGCTCTGATACCATGATGCAAATTGTAATCTTCGTCGGAGAGAAGAGGAAACCGGACGGTACCAGCGTAATTTTATTAATTGGAAAATGAAAAGTACATTGTTCCCTTGCAATCACTCAATATACCTATGGTTGAAGTCCTAATTAAAACACAATTTCACCTTTGGACAACATGAGGTTTAGTTGCAAATTAAATATTGTATATTGATTTACTTATATAAGTGACTAATCAAGTAATTAAGATGTTTCAACCACTTTGGCGTTACATTATGTTCTTTTTGTTTTTATACAGCTGTTCTTGTGTTCTTGAGTTGCTGGGATGACCGAGTGATGGGGCTGAGTTAAACGAACAAGTAGTTGGGAGTCTAGCTAGTTTGGTGTCAGTTTTTAAACTTGTGTGGTTGGGCCAATGTTGCTTTCAACATTCTCTTCTTTCTTCTTGCTCTCTCTTTGCTGTTAAGCTTTCTGCGCAACCGTTTTTGCCTCTGAGATTAGTCTTTGCCGTTGGAAGTGTTCCTCTCCCGTGGGTGATTTTGGAATTATTCATGGTATCAAGTTATAAGTTATAACTTGGAAGGTGATGATTATGAGGATCGTTAGATTATTTTTTTTACTAGTAGGCGCTTGCTTCATTTTCTACCAAAAAAGTACTATTAACCCTGTTGGGCTTGGCATTTCTAAGTACCGAGTTCGGGCCTAGTACTCAGGATGACATCAAATGCCCAGCATTATAAAGGCCAGGCCCAATAGTTTTGCCTTGGTTTTTTTCTAAATGACGCCGTTGTTTTGCTCGTGGAACTTTACTAAAGAGTAAAGACGGTGGAAGGTTGTGAACCGCAACCAAACGAGACTGTTTCCAAATTCCGGCCAAGTTAAAATACAAAATGATGTTGGCAGCTGCTGTCGGCCGCTCGCTCTCGTCATCGGCAGCTTCCAGAATATTCGCGCCCACAACCAAAGCCCACTGTTTCTTCTCTTCCCCTTCCTCTCTACTCAGATCACTCTCCTCTTCTTCTGCTCGCTTCCAAGTTCGAGCAATGGCTGCCTCCGCTGATTCCTTCAAGAAAATCCAAATCCAGAGGGAAGACACAGTCAGTTCTCTATCCCCTAATTCTTCTTCTGATTCCGTCGTGTTTTTCTTTCCCGCTTCCGATGCTGGGATGGGATGGGATGATCTTTTTTTAGTGTGTGGGAATTGGAGGTGTTGATGGGTATTTGTTGTTCGGACCTTGAATGATTGAATTTCTTATGGAATAATGGTTCGTGAAATTTGTAATTGGTAACTGGTTATTTGTTGTGAGCTTGAATTCATGGAAGACGATGGGTTCGCTTTCTCTTAGGTTTATTTTGCGGTTCTGAATGGAGAGGAAGTGGCTTTATTATTTTCTGATTTATGGGTTGTGTTCAATTTCTCATGGATATCCTTGCAGTTCACTCCGGTTAGTATTGATCCAATTGAAAGTGAACTTGTTTTACGTTCAGCGCATTGCATTGCCAGTGTCTGTGTCTGTGTCTGTGTGATGGAGAATACTGCCCCTTATTAATTCTAAAATTGGTTGGTTGATTGATCAGACTTTTGATGCTTATGTGGTTGGCAAAGAAGACGCTCCTGGAATCGTTGTACTTCAGGAGTGGTGGGGTGTGGATTTTGAGATCAAGAACCATGCCATCAAGATCTCCCAACTTGAGCCTGGATTTAAGGCCCTTATACCAGAGTGAGTATAGCAATGTGGTTTCAGCAAAGTTCTCAACTTGTTCTTCTGAGTGAGATGCGATGTTATAGTCTCATGGTGGCGTTCTATTTTTTTGTATGCTAATTGCTGGAGAATTCTGGTACTATTTTATCAGCTTGTATCGCGGAAAGGTTGGTTTAGATGTCGCGGAGGCTCAGCATCTGATGGACAATCTTGACTGGCAAGGTGCTGTCAAGGATATCCGTGCTTCAGTAAATTGGCTCAAGGCCAATGGCTCAAAGAAGGTTTGTCACTTTGATCATACGTGTAGGCTGTTACTACATTCGCGGCCTTGGTGTGCATTGTGGTAAATGCATCACTTGTGTTGTGTGAAGCCATCCTTCCTACGTAGCCTCGAGGCTCTGTACTTACTTTATGAGCCTAACTGCTGTTAAGTGAAATAATTATCTTAAGTTCTGTGGTGCAATCATTCTTTATAGGTTGGAGTGACTGGATTTTGCATGGGTGGTGCTCTGTCTATTGCAAGCTCAGTTTTAGTTCCTGAGGTTGATGCAGTTGTGGCTTTCTATGGAGTTCCTTCTTCAGAGCTCGCAGATCCTGCCCAAGCTAAAGCTCCTGTTCAGGCGCATTTTGGGGAGCTTGATAACTTTGTTGGCTTTTCTGATGTAACAGTAAGTTTCTCCGCTCATATCATGTCCTTTCTGTAGCTACTTTTGTTGCTCTTCAAAAAAATTCTCCTTATATTTATCAAGGCAAAGCTCAACCTCTTGCACCTCAACAAGCTCATTGAACGGACATGGTTCCAATGCATTGGTTAGAACTTCCCTATATTTTAAATAGTCTACTAAGGTTGCAGATAACAAATATTTGTCAGCACTCCTTTTGTTTCCTCACTTTTCACCCAGTCAAACAACTTCAGTAATTGAGGTCGAGTTAGAGGAAGTAATGAAATGACCTAATATGACTTGTTTTCCAAGCCCTCCTATACTGGTTGTAAGAAAGTTTTGTAGCCCTTGGCATGAGTAAACTATAAAATTCATCATTTATCCTCAATGCTGCTAGGTTTAAGTACTACTCTGCTGTAAGTGAGAAATGAAGTGTGTTTTACTGAGACCTTGCAGCAATATTTAGATTGTTCTCACCCCCTAAACAGCTCGCTGATCCCTGCATTGGTATATTTTTAATCACTTGGGCTTCCTGTCCTTGTCTGATCTTGATGTGGGATCCGTATAAGTGCTAGTCATTCTCCTCTACTACCACATAGAGGTAGCTCTAGTCGACTTTGAAGAAAATGAAGCAACAAATCTGTCTCAAATTATTTAGTTCTTCTTCTTGGTGTGTCTGTCTCAAAACTTCATATGCAACTGATGCATGTATCTAATATTTCAATTGACAGATATACAGTATATCGTCCGACTGTGTTTTTGAATAAGGAAAGAACAAGACACTAATATTGTCCAACTGTGTTTTTTAATAATTTTTTTCCCTTAGGCAGCAAAAGCCTTGGAAGAAAAGCTGAAAGCATCTGGAGTTCCACATGAGGTTCATATCTATCCAGGCAACGCGCATGCTTTCATGAACAGATCTCCTGATGGTATCCAGAGGAGGAAGGGCATGGGATTGCCAGATGAAGATGAAGCTGCTGTCGAGCTGGCATGGTCTCGATTCAAATCATGGATGAACAGTCACTTATCGGCGTGAGTTTTGTGGCATCGTCTAGGCCTCCCCCTCCCCTTCTTTTAGCTAATGTCTAGTTTTCTATTAGTACCATGAACCTAACCCTAAAATAACTTAAATGTACCAGTACTATGCGTGGAAGTTCCAGTCTTTGAAGAGTGCACCATAGTCTCTTGCAGAAAATTGTCTCACTGGGTCTTGGATGTTAATCATGTGAGTGTCCAAAACATCATCTTGATGAGATTTGAGTTGATTTGGTATCTCGGGTACACATGTTGAAAAGGGAATTACCAGGAGCCTTCTAATTAGAACATGTGTACTGTCCTTCTGGTCTTCTGTGTCTACTATGTTGTATGTTCTATGAGAAATAATGGCATAAACAGAACGTATAGCTTTGCTCTATGTTTTGGTGTTTCTAGAATCGTAAGATTGATGATCGGTAACGTAGTTGACAGACACGACATCATGGGACCAACCAAAGACGGTTGAATAAGCCCAACATGGAAAAAATTAAGACAAGGCAAGAAGACCATATCGAAGTCCAGATAGTGGACAAAGCTTTGACAGAGAACCTGTGGTTTGAAGTGTGAACACTCCCAAATGATTTATGATAGCGATGAGATGAGATGACCCACAAATGTAGAAATTTAGACTTAAGAGACTGGAAGTCAGTCTCATGAGTTGACTAGTGAAGGCAGTTGTTGGGCTATCATGGAGAGGAAACTTGGGACGAAAAAACTCACCTGTGTCCCCAGCAGGATATTATTATCCTGGCCTGATAGGTAGAAATTGGTCGCGACAAAGCATTGGCCAGTCAAAATTATCTCATTTGGTGGGTCTGGAAGAGAAACTCTACCGTATCGGTTGGTTGGACTGAAACGGGACCGAACTCAAATCGGTATATGGTAGAAGTAGTAAAAGTAGAACTACGACTAATCTATGATTTTATTACAAAATATTATACTTTTCATTTTTTCGGCCTGATCTTTATTATTGTTTCACAATCCTTGAACAGATAGAAATTTGTTTTGAATGGCTTGCATTGTTACATAATTATGAGGCCAGCGGTTGATTATTTCAACCATGGATCGTCATCAACTATCTTATGACCACTGACCATTACATTATTGACCAACAATATTTTTTTGTTTCGATTCATATGGTCAAAAACAAGTTTGTTTTAGTACACATCAATTGTTACTAATGGAGTCGAGTAGATTTGAACATAAGAGTTATTTGGTCACTCATGACATTGATCATTTGTGAAGAATCGGTTGATCTTCACCAACTCGAATTATTGGAAGAAGTTATTGAATGAATTTTATACGTGCTGATAAATCAAAATTTGATGGAATCAATTGTGTATTATTACTGAAACCACGTATGGTTTATATAGAGTATAATGATATAATTCGGGTAAATGACACATTTGGTCACTGAGATTATTAAATTGTGTCGTGTTTAGTCATTAGAAAAAATTAATATCAATTTTGGTCACTCGAATTACCGAAACTGGTCAAATTTAGTCACTCTCCCGTCAGTTTCCGTCCAACTCCATTAATGTAGTTGGACGGAAACTTTTGGGAGAGTGACTAAATGTGACATGTTTCAGTAATATGAGTGACTAAATGTGACATTTTTCAATAATTCGAGTGACCGGAGTTGGACAGAGGCTACAGAAGAGTGACCAAATGTGACATGTGTCAGTAATTCGAGTGACCAAAATTGATATTAAATTTTTCTAGTGACTAAATATGACACGATTTAGTAATCTCAGTGACCAAATGTGTCATTTCGAACATTAATATCGAAAATGCATGTCTAATTTCGACAACTCTGATAAGCAATACAACTCTATCAAATTACATAACAATTTTCGTAGTGTAACATAATACTACCCGTACTACTCATACTCTAAATACGATTGTTAACTGGTTTATGTCCGGCCCGATTCCGGAAACAAAGAAGGGAAGAACTTGTGAAATTTTTTTGAACACCACCCTTATTATAGCTATGGTCTTTGAATCATAACATGACGTTCCTTATTATTTACATCCATGAGTACTTTCCTGGTTAGGTAAAGTCGCAATAACTTGGAAGCATGCCAATGTCCTCATTTGTTGCCATCCTATCCTTCTTTGTATTTGTTGTGTAGTGCAACGTAGGGTTGCTAAATTCTGACTATGACTCTTAATGAGGATATATTATATTCCATTCCCACATTTATTTATCTTATAGAGGGAACGAAGACCGGCGGCCGTAATAAGTGTTGGCCTTCTCTTCGTCTCTTCTTCATCTTCTCCATGCAAAATATTAGCTAAGCTTTTTTCGTGGCTGGTCTCTTTATGGCCACGGCTTTTTCTTCATGGAATCCTTTTGGTCATCGAGGGACGCTTTGAATGGCTGCCTTTCCATAAAGATTTTTTTGAAGATAGAAAAGGAAAGGAAGGAAGGAAGGAGTGAAAGAAGGGTTCGGTCGGTCACACACGCTACGATAATTGGGAGCCTGCTTTTTTCTGAAATTGGGTTGAACTCAAAGTATACATGCAAGAAACTACAAGGCTACTGGTAGCCATATATTTTAGCACCACGTTTGCGGCCTGCCAATGGCGGATCAGTGTCTTGGATTTGGCTGAGATGGGTCCTCATTCTTTTATGTGTTCTAATTAGCTTCCAAATTTAGGGAGAAATTAATTTGACCCACAAAGAACTTGATACTATACTTTTAGATTTTGTTCATACGTTTAAGTAGATAAACAATTAAGTTGCTGTCACAAATTCTTATTTCGGATATTTGCAATGGCGAAAATGGGGGTTGAAAAATCGTAACGTACTGACGGTTCGACCAGAAAATCCTTCTACGGAAAGCAATACCAGTAGGTGGTATTTAGTGGTATGCAATAGTTAAACCACGGTCAAACCACAGTTTCAGCCAAAAATACCGTACCGTTGACTTTTCCGGTACGATATTTCAATCCTTGTGGCGGAACATGAAATTGTCTCCGAAATCTCGGGTGAAAGAGTATTGTCGTTTGATATATACACCTCTCCCTCACTCAAGTCCGTCCTTGTTCTTCATTCACAAACATGATGTTTTATGTTTATGAAAATTTACGTCATCGTAAAATGTCTGGGAGAGCACAGTTTTAATTGACATCATATCAAATTGATATTAAAATCCAACTGACTTATACTTTGATTTTTGTTTCTCCGTCAACTTTCTTCTAGTATTGAATCGATTTCGCTTCTTAAATATATGATTGAATCAAAGATGTATTGAATCGAACATTTCATGTCTGTGTTCATCCTCTTCGCCGTTCTTTAATTTTACACACTTGATTCGATTGGGTATCTAATTTTGAACCGAATCATTGAGACCATATTTCGAATCCCCTACCACAACTTTGTCAATAGAAGTTCCGTAAGAAGGAACATGACGGTGAGGTTAGGTTTGAAAAGGCGCCCAAAACTAATTTGTCAGTTGTCACCCTAGCTATATATCACGTACGATGTCACCACCAACTGAACATATGAAACACAATGTGTCAATGTCGCGAACCTTGGTTGCTACTATGGCCAGAACTTGGAGAGGAAACCAGCAAACCCCATATACATCAATTCTATCGTCTCTGTCTTTCAGTTCGTCCTACTTCATATTCTTCACAAAGAATAGGATGGTAATTTCGACTTGACCCGTTTTACCCGACCCGTTTGGCCTGTTTTAGGCGGGTCTGACCCGCCCCATAGGCGGACCGGGATGGGCATGGGTACCTCTCGTCGACCCGACCTGCCCTGACCCGCCCCATTCTTGACCCGTTCTTGTCTAAACTACATGTAATCTTAGTCAAATTACTTATAATTTTCCTCATATTACCTCATATTTTAGCTATAATAAAGTTGTAAATAAGTGAAAACCTCAATTTATCATATTATGGTTTATTTCTTGGTATTTTAACACAAATAATGAATATTTTTAAAGTTTTTTTACATAAATTATATACCTATTGGGTCAACCTGCCCCGACCCACGCCCCATAATAAATTACTCGACCTATACCCGATCTACCAAGGATAAATATGGATATCAAGATACCGGCCCGGTCCTGCCCATTGCCATTACTGAGGGAGAGAGGCGGTATCGTTGTTTTATACTGTGCCTTATCGATACATTTACCTATAACGGACAGCACCGAGAAAAAGACTTCCTTATTATCCAATTAATTGACTCTGTTGGGAGGGCGATTTATTACCCTCAACACCATTCTACGATCGTAAGTACCAATTTCTTGCGTTCACATTACGCTTGCACGTTGTCATGTTTAGCACACGAAAGTGGAAAAGTGAAAGAAACTTCAATGACTTCCTGCCGAAAATTTTTTGGGGACCTCTGCATTGCTTTCTGACTAAAAAAAATGGAAAGACAAACAGAAAAAAGAGGTTGTATTATTTGTTTGCTACATCTAAATAAATATATAAAAAATGAAATTGTATAACCGTACCACCGAAATGTTAAATGTTGATTCAAACGTATTAATATTATAGATGTCCATAATAGAATAGCAATAATTAGCTTAATCATAAAAAAAATGAAACCTATATCACTTTATTCACAAAAAAAATTAGTTTATATGTACTAGAATCATTGACCTAAGGATTGGTACGGATTTAATCATTTGACCTTCCGCATACAAGCTTAAATTTTGAGGTTAAGAGCTTATTATATGTATGTAACAAATTAAACGTTCAAATATCGTAACTGGCACTAAAATTTTGATAGATTAGCTTGAATTCCTTCTTGGGAACTAGTGTTCGTTATGTAGGAACTAGAGGAATCTTCGCACTATCATGACCTTAACAAGGATATCATACTCTATAGAGATAACAGTGACAACAATCATATATAAATTAACTAATAATCACCCTTTCATCCTTGTTTTCCTCCCTTCCTCTGATCAACCTCATTAAATAATGAAGTGCAAAGCGACATGATCACTAGATCCCAAAAATAATTAATCAGCTTCAAAATCAGGGATTGATTACAGTTGTGTTGTTAGCATTGTGGAATTCTATTTCTTATTCTTGAATTCACACCCATCAATGTATAATTTATTTCTTCTGCAGATGACGCTTGTGGTTTCTGGATTGGGGAGCTTTTTAGTGATTTAGCATACTAATAGTCTAATACTATCTCTTTCTGGTCATTAGTTGCCATCATGTCTCTAAGACCTTGGGATTATGTTAACTGTTAAACACTAGTTCTGCTCCAATTTATCTATTCCAAAAATATAAAATTCACTTTCTCTCTCTATATATGTATGTATGTATGTCATACCAAACAATAAACTTGTTACATTTTATTAAATATTGATACGAAGT